TTGAATTTTCCATTTGCAGCTATTACAGCTTTCAGAAATGTTCTAGCTGTGAGGTTTTGAGGGTAAATTTCAACCCACGCCTTCTGTAGCAACTCTGACCTTACACTTAAGCGCGTCCCACAGGAGTTCAGTGTGGTTTAAATCAGGCAATAGTGCAGGCTAGTCCATCAAAGACAGTACTCAGTACTCTCAGAAACTCCCTGTTTCTTCCTCAAATAGGTTTAGCATTGCTCAGAGGTATGCATTGGATCTTCGTACTACTGCATGATGAAATTTGAACCAATCAAGCACTGACCACAGGGGACGGCATGACATTGTGAAATAGAATGGTAACCTTTCTTGTTCCTTGCACATTGCATCAGTCTCCCAGCTCAGCAGCACCAAAGCAGCCCCATACAATTACACTTCATTCATGCTTGACAGAAGGCATCAAGCATCCTTTCATTTGTTGCATTTCACATGCGCTCTCTTCCTTGATTTAAACCCCTCAAACTCATTTGTCCAGAGTACTCTTGTCAGTCACTCACCATCCATTGTTTGTTCTTTTGCTCATTTATCGTCTTCTTTTATTTTCCAGTTTCAGCTTTTTAAACATGTCATTTAAAGTCCAGCATCCCTGAGTTCTTTTATTCTGCTGTGTATCTCTGCTTGAGCAGTTCTGGGTCTTTGCCCTCTTCAAAGGGGGCAAATTTTTTTTAGAAATGTTCAATTTCTTGGTAAACGTATGCGTGGAATCACCTTAATTTTTAAAAATCATAGAATTTTATCAAGGAGTTACAGTATGTTGCAAACCAAGGAAGGAAAATGTACCTTCTTTGTTGAACAGAAGATTGGGTTTCAGGTGGGCTTTTACAAAGGTTTGAGCTGAAAGATCATTAAATCACACAGTTCAATATTGCAATTCGATAAAAAATATTAATTATAAATTAGCAGTACAGTGATTTGCAGCATTAGTATTGTTCTGGAAATGTATTTCAATCCATTTAATGCAATCTTGGTGAATAAGAGTATCAGATTCTGTCAAAAACATTAATATTTCTGTGTAATGTGTGTATATTATGTACTTCTAGTATATGTATGTTCTGGAACAGAACCACTAAATGAAGAGATCAACAGTGTTCTCATTACTATTTAGTTGCTGTAGGGTTGTGACTTAAATTCTTAGGTCTGGGACAAAATGTTTGGGCATTCGACAGAATGTAATATAACTAAGTGCCAACTGCGTTTAAAAGTTTGCTTTTCCCCAGTTGCTTGTAAACTTTATGAGAAACGGCAACACAATCCCTGGTTTAAATTAAATTGTAAGAAGCAGCAGTGCTACTTGCATTGTGTTATGAATTGTGTTCTGACACATTTTAGAATGCAGCAATGAATGATATCAAGTTTGGGTAGCCAGAAGTGCTTGCATTGAGTTATAGATTACTGGACAAGTGTGTGATCCTTCAGAAATCACTCTAATATGCTGATTTGCTGCTCAAGAATCATTTATTATTATTATCAATGTTGAAAACAGTTTTGTTGCTTAATTTATTTGTGAAAACTATTATACTTGTTTTCAGGATACTTTGATGAAAATAAAGTTATCAGAATAGCATTAATTTAAAATCTAATTTTGGTAGCAAATGTTTTACTGTCACTTTTGATCAATTTAATGCATCCTTGTTGAATAAAATTAATTTAATTTATCTTATTAAACCCAAACGTTTGAACAGTAGTGTGTTTTCCCCCATATCCATTGACTGTACTCATTGTACAAAACATGCATTTGTTCATTGCAAATCATTTAAAGGCACTATCACACTTTCTATTTTTGATATAACAATTTTATTACAAAATGTAGACCTTTTTCATCTTTCAGTGCTGCCTAGATAGAATTGTTCTATTCCTTGAATTTTAAGCGCGTCCCACAGGAGTTCAGTGTGGTTTAAATCAGGCAATAGTGCAGGCTAGTCCATCAAAGACAGTACTCAGTACTCTCAGAAACTCCCTGTTTCTTCCTCAAATAGGTTTAGCATTGCTCAGAGGTATGCATTGGATCTTCGTACTACTGCATGATGAAATTTGAACCAATCAAGCACTGACCACAGGGGACGGCATGACATTGTGAAATAGAATGGTAACCTTTCTTGTTCCTTGCACATTGCATCAGTCTCCCAGCTCAGCAGCACCAAAGCAGCCCCATACAATTACACTTCATTCATGCTTGACAGAAGGCATCAAGCATCCTTTCATTTGTTGCATTTCACATGCGCTCTCTTCCTTGATTTAAACCCCTCAAACTCATTTGTCCAGAGTACTCTTGTCAGTCACTCACCATCCATTGTTTGTTCTTTTGCTCATTTATCGTCTTCTTTTATTTTCCAGTTTCAGCTTTTTAAACATGTCATTTAAAGTCCAGCATCCCTGAGTTCTTTTATTCTGCTGTGTATCTCTGCTTGAGCAGTTCTGGGTCTTTGCCCTCTTCAAAGGGGGCAAATTTTTTTTAGAAATGTTCAATTTCTTGGTAAACGTATGCGTGGAATCACCTTAATTTTTAAAAATCATAGAATTTTATCAAGGAGTTACAGTATGTTGCAAACCAAGGAAGGAAAATGTACCTTCTTTGTTGAACAGAAGATTGGGTTTCAGGTGGGCTTTTACAAAGGTTTGAGCTGAAAGATCATTAAATCACACAGTTCAATATTGCAATTCGATAAAAAATATTAATTATAAATTAGCAGTACAGTGATTTGCAGCATTAGTATTGTTCTGGAAATGTATTTCAATCCATTTAATGCAATCTTGGTGAATAAGAGTATCAGATTCTGTCAAAAACATTAATATTTCTGTGTAATGTGTGTATATTATGTACTTCTAGTATATGTATGTTCTGGAACAGAACCACTAAATGAAGAGATCAACAGTGTTCTCATTACTATTTAGTTGCTGTAGGGTTGTGACTTAAATTCTTAGGTCTGGGACAAAATGTTTGGGCATTCGACAGAATGTAATGTAACTAAGTGCCAACTGCGTTTAAAAGTTTGCTTTTCCCCAGTTGCTTGTAAACTTTATGAGAAACGGCAACACAATCCCTGGTTTAAATTAAATTGTAAGAAGCAGCAGTGCTACTTGCATTGTGTTATGAATTGTGTTCTGACACATTTTAGAATGCAGCAATGAATGATATCAAGTTTGGGTAGCCAGAAGTGCTTGCATTGAGTTATAGATTACTGGACAAGTGTGTGATCCTTCAGAAATCACTCTAATATGCTGATTTGCTGCTCAAGAATCATTTATTATTATTATCAATGTTGAAAACAGTTTTGTTGCTTAATTTATTTGTGAAAACTATTATACTTGTTTTCAGGATACTTTGATGAAAATAAAGTTATCAGAATAGCATTAATTTAAAATCTAATTTTGGTAGCAAATGTTTTACTGTCAGTTTTGATCAATTTAATGCATCCTTGTTGAATAAAATTAATTTAATTTATCTTATTAAACCCAAACGTTTGAACAGTAGTGTGTTTTCCCCCATATCCATTGACTGTACTCATTGTACAAAACATGCATTTGTTCATTGCAAATCATTTAAAGGCACTATCACACTTTCTATTTTTGATATAACAATTTTATTACAAAATGTAGACCTTTTTCATCTTTCAGTGCTGCCATGCTTTTAGCATATAACAATACAGTATAAAATCTCAACCCAAAATGAGCTAATTAAAAGCTGTTTTTTCATTGATGCTGTTGCAGCATTTAGATGTTCATGCCGTTTCTGTACACGTAACATTCCTTGAAAAATACAAACACCTGCCGAACACGGCACAATTAAAACGACTTTGAATTACCAGCCTATTCTTGCAGACCGTTTAAATTGTTACGAGGTGTAATCAACATAACGTTTCTGTAGTTATACAAGGAAAGAAAGAGATAAATAGAAGTACACTGCAAATAATGACAAAGGTGTCGAGATCTGATCTTTTCAACAGCCCAAGGTACCCAGGCTTAAAATATGTTGGCAATTATCAAGTTATTTTTTTTTTTTTACAAACCCACACACACATACACAGACACACCAACAAAAAAAGAATGAACAAAAATGCTTAAGCAGGAGGTGAAAAGACAGAACAAAAGCATGAGAGAAAAAAAAAAGAAGAAAAGAACACACTCAGCTTTGCTTCTTTTACATTCTACATCCGAAGTTCACAGTGAGTATCCCAGGCAGTGGGTAGATCTATCTAATAATCCTGATGGGGAACATTAACCTAAGTGGTTCAGAAATCTACTGCGAGACTAAATGGCTTCCTCTTCGAAGGAAGTGGTCTAATGATCCAGGCTGTAAAGATGGAAGTCTGAGCCGTATCATGTTAAGTAGTTTTCCGGTAAGGCGTTGCTTGCCCAACAGACAACCAGAGAAGAGCAGAACCACGGTGCCTTCAAACTAAGACCAACACCAGCATTTGCCTTCAAGATCCAGAAACAAATGACAAAAACGTGATTGTTTTAGGTGTTACGAGACAAGAAATATTGAAATATCTAGAAAATTCCAGTTGATTTTGATGTCTATGTTTGTTCTTGATTGACAATGTTCTTTAAGGATGCATGATTTGGTAACAGACACCTGGAAACTCATATCTCTCATTGGCTGGGAGATTTCTGTGCTCTTTAGTTCAGTTGGCGACAGGCCTCAAATGTCCATTTCGAAGCCCCTCCGTAGACCTCAATGCTGGTTTCCAACCAAGAGAAGACGTTCCCCACTTGTGCTTTGCTGCTGCATGTGGCCAGGTTATAAATCTCTCCCACGGACAGTTTTCGGTCCCAGATGTTGAAATTCGCCATGTCACCGACAAACGCTTGAGTAGCATCAAACCCTCCGCCGAGAGTATCCTGCAGGTGGATAACATTTATTTGAGATGCTGATAAGATAAACGCTGAATGCCTTCAAAGGCATATGATTGGTCCCTGTTAACCTTTGAAGCTAATCTGCCCATAAATGATTCATATGTGCTTTTCATCCCTACAGGCGTCTTTGAAGGTCTCTGCATTTCAAATGCGCCAAAATATTGTCTATTGGTTGTTTTATAGAGTGTTTTAGAATGGACTGTTTTCAATGAGATCTTCTTATAATTGGCTCTGTTCCTAAACCTTTGATTGTCTTCTAAAGGTGCGGTGATATTGCCATTGTTTCGTGGGTGAAATCAATAGGAATCCACCTGATCAGGAATTTCAGATCGGGGCAAACGATTTGATTTGTTGACCAACAGAAAGCTGTTTGGTTTGAAACTGACTTCTGTGTATTGACAATAGACATTGAACCTTTTTCGGCTGCATGTGAAACCTCGTGGATATTTCGCTAATGTGACCACACCTTAGAGCAGCATCCTAACTAAAATGCAACCTCACAAGTGAAAATTCCACATGGACAGTGATGTTATATGTAACCCTGGAGCACAAAAGCAGTCTTAAGTCGCTGGGGTATATTTGTAGCAACAGCCAAAAAATAAATTTTATGGGTCAAAATTATCGATTTTTCTTTCATGCCAAAAATCATTAGGACATTAAGTAAAGATCATGTTCCATGAAAATATTTTGTACATTTCCTACTGAAAATATATCAAAACTTAATTTTTTATTAGTAATATGCATTGCTAAGAACTTCATTTGGACAACTTTAAAGGCGATTTTCTCAATATTTTGATTTTTTTTTGCACCCTCAGATTCCAGATTTTCAAATAGTTGTATCTCGGCCAAATATTGTCCTATTATAACAAGCTTTCAGATGATGCATAAATCTCAATTTCGAAAAATTGACCCTTATGACTGCTTTTGTGCTCCAGGGTCACATATAGACTGCGCCCCTTACGCAAACTTACAATTGATTTGAGTTTTAGTACTAAAAAGCTAAATAATAATTTGCTCCACTAATAAGCATAAAAGACAAAAAAAAAAATATATCAGCTGCAATTAGAGGTGTGCGATATTTGTCGTCTAAGATAATATAATAATCGTTGTTTTAATGACGACATTATCCAGTATGTATATGCAAAAATATACAAATAAAAACACATCTTTAGAGTCCAAAAGCATTCACTGCGTGATGAACCCTATTAGTATTCAGTTAGAATGCCTATAGGTTACGAAAGTTACGAAAGCAAAAACATCCCTGGATGTCCGTTAAAAAAAACGGATTTTTTTTTATTTTCTTTTTTTTAAATATGATATAGGCTAGTTAATAAAATTCACACAAGCAAGAGTGGTTTTCCCAAATATCGGCGCTTGAACACAATCGCAAATGTGACATTCATTTTATAAAACAGTTCAACAAACAAGAAGTTATTTAGTGGTACATTGAGTGAGTTTCATTTTAGATACAATATGAGTCATGATTCAATGATCCAGTTGTTAAGACAGTCACTTGCTTTGTTGCTAAATTAATCAGCTGTTTTGAATGAGTCGTTTGAATGAATGATTCAATTAATCACTTATTAAGACAGGGACTTGCCGCCACCTACTGGCGGTTTTAGTGTCATATTTAAACAAGCCAAGGTATCAGTACAATGTTGTTTAATTATCGCTATAAAAAAAAAAGAAATCCCCCAAAATATCGAGATACTATTTTTTGGCAATATTGCACACCCTTAGCTGGCATTGCCTTATGTGAAAAGTTTACATGCTGCCTTTCAATTTAGCCAAAACTAGGTGTTTTACAAAGCAGCAGTTAAACTTCCTAACTTTTGGAACAGCCTATGCCTGAGAGAAAGCCTACAATGCCTTAACATACAGCTACGTGGGCAGCTCACTATGTTTTTGGAACAGAGCCACTGTGTATTCTTCACTCATCATTAAATCATTGTTGTGTAACATCCTGAACTACCACGCCATACTTTTCCATATTGATGAGTGAATTAAGGTTAAACAGAGGATGCATACCTGCTCTTGTCCCAGAATCAATACCCCTTGTGGTTTGATTGGATGGTATGGGGCCAGACTGTCCCCATTTCCTCTCATTACACCATCCTGGTAAGCTTCCCACACTCCATCTCGAGTGGTCCATGTGATACAAATGTGATGCCATTTCCCATCATTGATCAGGAAAGGCAGCTTAGCAACCTACATCAAAAGAGGGCAAAAACCAGTAGAAACTTAAACATCATGTTCATTTTGATGCAGCGCAGACTGCCTGCTTTGAGTATTCAGTTTGTAACTACACTAAATTGACACAACATGCTAGCATATAACAACTTTGCAAGCAACATGTTCTTGCAACACATTAGATACCATCTAGCAACATCCTACCAATCTGTCTGTCTGTCTATCTCCTTTAAAGGAATACAAAGGAAATTATGAATTTAAATGCAAAGAAAAACCATGCATTTCTGAATTTCCCTAATGGCAATTAATCTTTTTCTCAATATTGTTCAGCGTGAACATACCTTGTCATTGATAAGCATTTCCATTGGGTTGTTTCCCCATTCAATAAGAACCAGTTCATTGGCCTGTCCAGGGACTGCATAAGAGAAAGGCGTCCCCACTCCTGGAGAGGCATTGGACTTGAGCCACATGCACACAGTGAAGGCGTACATCTCCGGCAGACTCTTCTTGACTTTAGCATACATGTAGTTGGTCCTCAGGGGGAACGTCAGCTGAAATTTATCCAGTGGTCTGTTTTCCTTTTGGCCTGTTATTATAAAAATAAATACATGAATACATTTAAATAATCAGTCTACAGTATAGCACTAAAAAGGGCAAACTGTCAAAGTAATGTTATCAAATACAGTATACGAAATCTCTATACATAATTCTCAGTAACTTGTTTTATTGCTGTCCATAAATTGATCCATACATCACAATGAAAGCAAAATGCAAGGTATCATGTGTACTTAAAGTATATTTCTAGGGAATATTTATTTATATATATATAAAACACCTTTATTGATTTATTTGGTTCTTTCTGCCTGGGGAAAGACAAGCACTCTAGTGCTGTCAGGTTTATTTCGTTTATTTCTACCCTTGTGTTAGATGCTCGTAACAAGGAGTAAAAGCCACAATCAATGGGCATCATTACTGAGGTAGAGAAATAGTTCAAACAAAAATTCAATTCTGTCATATAGTTTACTGACCCTCCAGTTGTTCTAAACCCACACAATATTCTCTCGTCCATGGAAGACATTTGCATGTTGCATGCATTTACAGTACCTTTGCATGTTAGACTGCAATCTTTTAATTTGCTGTACCTCTCAAATCTAATTTGTACGTGTACGCATTTAAACATAGCGTATCAAGATATAAAACATAATTTCTTCAATTGATGTCTCTCATGCTTTTGACAACTCGGGTCGTGCACTTTTCCGTTGCAGCTCGATCTGACCTTGCCTCATTTCAAACGCATTACGTTCCATATTAGTTCCATGTTTTCATTACCAATTTTGATTGCTTTGATCATTGAAGTCACATCAAATGTGTGAGCTACAGATGATTTTCAGCAAATACCTTACATTTTGATGTGTTCATTGCACATATTTATAACATGGCTTAGAATGAGTGGGAATACAGTACACGAGACTACTTTTTTGTCCATTTTGGAGCTTGACGATGTGAATTGCTGTACACATCTGTTTGGATGGTAAAGCTCAGCGCAGACATTCTGCAAAGTATCTCTGTAATTCACAGATGGCGAGTAAATGATGAAAATTCATATCCTATTAATGCCTTTTAAAAGGTGGTGGGACATTAAGCATTGTAATGACTGAGAAAAACGTGATTCACATGAATGGAAATTCACAAAATTCATGAGCTTGCAAAAACTCTCTGGTTCCGATCTGTAAATCATGCTGTAAAGCTGGCTGGGTGGAATTGGATATGCAAAGCAATGCAGCTCTGTGGACCCCCTCCTCTCCTGCGACACTACGGCAATTTATTACCCACGCTGGCATCTCCAAGAATATTTCCCACGTAGAAAAACAGGTCATGAAATGCATCTACACAACATGTATGTGTGATAGGTGGAGCAGAAATGCGAATGGTTACCTTTCTCTAAATCGGTTATTCTCTGGTGCAGTGAGGTGAGAGAGGAGTCGACGCGCCCGCGCTGCTCGCTTTCATTGCGCAGCCCGGGCTTTCCTTCCTCCAAACCGTTCACACGGGACAGGACCTGCTTCTCCAGGTCGTCGATTTTGTTCTGCAGAAGATCCTTCAAGCTGTTCGCCTGGACGGAGCTGTTATTCCGGCTGAATTGCTACAGAAAAATGAGAACATCTATTTGTGAGAGAAACGCTTCGGACATCTGTTAAACAAGTACACTGCTGCTATGAGTAAAATGTATTTCATATCCAAATAATTTAAATTACAAATAATTATTTAAGTCAAATATTATTTCATATTAATATAACCATCACTAAATTAAATGTACATGTCAAAATCCAGAAGTTTTTTTATTTTATTTATTATTATTACATGCATAACAATTAAATGCGTTATGATGTTCATTAAGAAAAAAACTAAAAAAAAAGTTAAAATACGACTAAATGTTTAGTTTAAGAACGGCCAAATCAATGGTATTGAAGATTCGCAATAGTTATTTTATTATGTATCTATTTTATTTTAATCTGCGGTTTTCTGTCGAGTAATGCGTCTTTCAAAAGAGGATTATGCGCCACTGTTTGGAAACCAATTTATTTAGAACATAGTCAGCTGATGTATTCTAAAATAAAATAAAGTTGTGAGAATCACAACACAGTTCCATCTGCGTTCTCAAATAAATCCACTGTTTCCGACATTGAAGAAACCGCTCCAGGACAACAAACATGCCTCCAGGTTTTCCAGCCTCTGCTTGAGTGACTGTAAAGTCCGCGAGAGTTGAGCCAGTGTGTCCGTCGGACCCCTCGACACATCTCCCATTGTGTTCTTAGTGCCCATTTCCTCCCGTCGTCCGCCGCCGCCCCTCGCGTCTCCGGGCTCGGACGCGCTCTGACTTTCGCACCTTGTCAGCTTGGAAGTCAGTTCCCTGATGGTTTCCTTCTGGTTCATGATTGTTTCCTTCTGTTGCAGCACCGTCTCTCTCAGCTGCATGACCGTGCTCTTGAGATCCTCCCCGGGCACGCTGTTCTGCAGTGTGGCGGCGCATATGTCCATATCCTTGGGCACGGACGTGCAAATGAACTGGGTCTGTCCAAAGTCTTGGCTCATCCCGTCCGCCAAAAGACAAGAAAGTATCAAAAGTGTCCAGTGCATCCCTCTCGCTCCAGCCTCCATGGCGTGTTTGTTTCCGAAGTCTCTTCTGGACAAGTGATTTCAGCAGCACTCTTCCTCTCTGTCTGACAGCTTGTGCTGGTTGTAATCTGGTTGTGGTGCGCCTTGGCTTTATATAGCACGCGTATCTGCGGCGGTGAGCTGCATCATGCGCCTGATCATGATCTCCCGCCCTTGGATATTAAAGCAGAAATAACATCCAGTAAGTCAATAAAACTAGTTTTGACCCCAGCGGACAGATTTTCAGTTTTCTAAAGCTCAATTAATTCCACACATTCATTGGGAGATTTTCGTCTTTGCGGGAAAAAAAGAATAACATAAAATTTAGAGAAAAATAAGTTGAATAAACTTAGGCAATATATAGGCCTATATTTTATAGTAAGGTATTGTTGAAATTCTGTTTATTAAAAGTACCAAGTATAAATATATACTTATTCATTTATGGGAAAAGGGGCATTCCCAGAATGTCTTATTTGAACAATCACAACATATTCAATTAAAACAAGAAGTTAAGTTACCAGAGCACATTATTTTCTTAAACCACTCAGTGTTCTCTTAGGAAAAGAAACAAAGACTGAATAATTGCTCATCAGAATAAGCACTGTTATTTTTCCACAGAAAGCTTATTTATTATTTATCAGTGTTGCATTAGCTGGAAAACAGTCTCTCGCAGTATTATTTTTTAAGTATTTGTCTAAAAAATACAAATATAATAAAATCAATTTACTTTTTCATTTATTGAGTATAAAAGAGGATCTAGAAATCTTTTATCACAGATAGAAACACTGATGCTTTATACTGAAAATAAATAAAAAATCATGTCTGGTTAACTTTGCAATAACATGAGCTTCTACAGTATCAAATTACCAGGCTGTATAATCTTTCTGTATTGATTTAGAAACAATATGCTGCCATTTCCTGTCTGCTTTGTCTACTTCACTAAATGGGTGTCTGAAAAGACTCATGAAGACAACAGCTTAATTAGTGATGAAGCCTAATTGCAGTTTCACAATGATTATTGATCCTCTACCGCAGCACGCATGCAGTGCATCACTGACGATAACATCAGTTCCAGCAGTTCTGTCATTGAGTAGTTTGATGGGTGTAAAATCTATTTGCAGCAGCTATAGACTACTCTGACAATGGCCATGCTTGTCTGACATTGCACATCTCTCATGACATCACACTGGTAGCTTTTTTCAGTGTTGCAGTGTGAACACCAAAATGCATTATGGTGGACTTAAAGTGAATCAAAACGGGCCATTCCATGAATCAGAACTAATAAACTCATATAGCTAGTGCACATTATTACCTACAAAAAAGGGTATTATGGTAACATGCATAACACTAAAATAATGTAATAAATGAAGCAACAAATTTAACAAAAACACCCTGATTTGCACATTTAAAAAAAAAGTGCATGTTCACGGTTCTCTGACTGGTTAATGGTCACAGGACATGCAGGTAAACAAATTAAATATTAAATCATGTTTAGTAAGTGTTTTATTTTGATTGTAGTTATTTTAAAATAATTTAAACTATTTTAAAATTATTTTTCTTTCTCTTTGTATTTTTATACGGTACAAGGTTATCCTAAATCAATGTGATAAACGAGATAGGTCAAAAGTAATCTAAAAGTAATTAAAAAGTAGTCCAATTATGATACCTAAAATGTGTAATGTAATGGATTACATTAACTACAATTTTGGTCATGTAATTTGGCTACAATTTGTAAGTAATCTACCCAGCGCTGATTAAGCTAAATATAACATTTTTATTTTTGGATATGAATTGTTTTTTATTATTTAAATGCATTTTGCTTCCACAAATAATATAGGTTTTACAGTTTAGCATGCTTTTATGCATTTATGCCTGCATTTATGCATGTAACCATGGTTCCCCGAGACGCTGCATCCTCTAGCGGACACTATGGGGAATGCTGCCAGCATGTCTGAAGCACATGTGCAAAAACTCAAATCCTATTGGTCCACGTGGCCTGTGACGTCATAGGCGGGTGCCTGGAAGTATAAAAGAGCACCTGCTGAATACGTAACTAACTTAGTTATCTGAAGGAGACGTAAACAGACAGACCAAAGGCATGGCGAGGGGACGCAACATCTTGTTCCCTCTCTGGGAATCATGGTTACATGCGTAACCTGAGACATTCCCCTTCTAGGGAACTTGCACTGCATCCTCTAGTGCAGCGGTTCTCAATTCCAGTCCTCGCATATCCCCGCTCTGCACATTTTGTATGTTTCTCTTATTGCTTCAGACGTTTGTTATATTTGACTGTAAGTGCCCTGCGAAGTGGACATTACCGGATATTCCGCCATGATTCCAGTTTGAAGGGAGCGTATATGTTCCATACAAAGGGCATTTAAGTGTGCGAGATGTGAATTTAAATTGTATTTATTTAAAGAGGTACATTATGTCCCACTTCACGCTTCTCTAGTAAGTTTCGTATGTGTGTGAAGACGCTGCAGGCAGCGGCGCAGCGCAAATCTGTAAATGAATATTCCGAAGTGAAGTAAACTTTGGAATATTCAACAGATTTCCCCTGCTTAGGGAGTAGGGAGCAATGGACACTCTGTAGGGACCATGTCAATCGGAACACAGTTCATGCACGGAGCACACTTCTAATGAGATGATGATCTGAATCAGGTGTGTTAACAAAGAGAGACATGCAAAACATGCAGAGCGGGGGTACACGAGGACTGAAAACATGCAGAGCGGGGGTATGCGAGGACTGGAATTGAGAACCGCTGCTCTAGTGGACACTATGGGGAATGAAATGCCAACTATGCCATGCTGAGGCACATGCCTGTCCACCCGGTGAGAGACTAAGGAGGTGACAGACACATACCTAACCTTTCCTCAGAAAGGGGAAAAGCCACTGACGCCCTGGGCCGCTCACATAACTTGGGAAATGGAGAACCCGATTTGATAAAAGGGAACACCCCAACCCAAAGTAAGAACACAGCTATGTTCAGATAGCTATGCTATGTGAGCTAAACTACCCTGAATACACAAGACCACTGAAGAGGCAAACTGAAAAACCTCTAGATAAGAGCTCAAATTGATCGCTACTTATAGCCCAAGTAAGGGGAGTTGTTGCTGAGCTAGAATACAGCTATCCTCAGATAGCTATATCCTAAGGGTCTCATGAAAGGCTCGTAGACCAAGATAAACCATATACAGCTAGCCTTGGATAGACAGGTAAGACCTTCCTTCAAAAACTGCCTAAAACAACAGAAAGTGGGCTACCTGCTTACAACCCTAGCAGGGGAGATAGCACAGTTTAGGCAAGGGCTCAAGGAGACCGCTACTTAAAGTCCCCTATAGGACATAAAGTCATTGAGCTAGCACATAGCTATCCTCAGATGTACCTAGAAAAGGGCTACCAGAAGACTGAAACACTTTCATTGTCATCACCAACCACATCAATCTCTTCATCATCATTCTGACTAGAAGAGCCCAGCAGAGTGCTATCGGGATCAGATGACTCTAAAGAAAGAGTGTCTGGATCCCGAGCCGCACTCGACCTGCGATCCCCATGAGTTTCCATCGTGCCTCGGCAGCAGTGGGACCCGACCCACGAGGCACAGACGCTTGCCCCTCTTCACTCGAGAAGAGAGACAAACATGATCAGAGCTTCTACATAGTGAAATTCTCACAATGCGCACATTCGGAGCCCTCGAGCACCAGACGCGCGTGCTCCTTACCCAGACACATTATGCACAAGTCATGTGTGTCCTCAGGTTTCAAAAACCTCTGACACGGAGGCAGGCACTTTTTGAAATGCTCGCCAGGTTTCAGAGACATAGTACACTAGAGCAGTGGTTCTCAAACCTCTCCATGAAGTACCCCCAGCACTGCACATTTTGTATGTCTCCCTATATCTGACACCCACTTCAGGTCTTGCAGTCTCCACTAATGAGCTGATGAGTTGAATCAGGTGTGATAGATGAGGGAGACATACCAAATGTGCAGGGCTAGGGGTACTCCAGGACAGGTTTGAGAACCACTGCGCTAGAGGATATAGCACGAGTTCTCTAGAAGGGGAATTATATTTTAAAGGCACTTATTGACCATCATTACATCTAACCCATATAAGGGCTCGTCTCAGAGCACATTAAAACAAGAGGTTCAATTATCTAATGATATTAACTGTGAGGAGGAGAGATCTGTGGGCTTTGTATGAGACTTACATGACACACCTCACCTTTCAGTTGTCCATATATAACACATTGTTTTTTTTTTAATCTCCTTTAAAATCAAAAAGCAGATTTGAAGTGTAACGGAGCTGCATACCTGCCTGCTGTGTGGTTTTGTTCAATTTTGTGTTTCAGTGGGGCGGGGCTGCAGCCCGAATGCAGATGGAGGACACCTGGGCCCGGAGTCTTTCCTCATTATAAAAGCTTCCTACCTTTCCCCTGTTGGTTGGTGTGTGTGTGTGTGTGTGGGGAGTTTGCCTCTCACGCGCATCACCCAGTTATGTTGCTTTCTGCTGGCATTTGTGTTCAATTATTATTTTGTTTGTTAAATAAATCTGTTATATTTTGATTCAATCCCTGCTTCCCTCTCTTTTGTCATCATTTTTGAGCCGGTTTATGACAAAGATTTTCAAATCATTCAAAACGCTATAGATATCTTTTAACAATTTATCCACCTCCATGTTGTGTAATAGCAGGGCTGATAGCAGCACTGTGGGCGAATCCACCGCGATCAATCTAATGATTATATTTTGGAAACCTGTGACAGTCAAGCTTTTTCTTCCACTGCTACATAAACGGATTCACATATAAGTGCCAAAATGATTATTGGAAATTCAAAATATTTCATATTTTTTGTCATTTTCTGAGATCCTTTCACAAGTTTGTCTTTTTACGCAGTACAGGTAACAGTAGTAAAATGAAAACACCCTTGAAAATGCAGAGTAATCAGCCCAGGAGATCTTAAATTATGTCTCTACAAAGTCTAGACTCTACAAAGTCTACACTTTAATGACACAATGCCACATAGACATCCACATCTTATTCATCCAAAATTCTGTTTGACTTAAC